CTTCACATGCAAAACGTGTCACCCCACTCTGTGCTCCAAAAGGCTTACCATATATGTCTGACCATCATAATATTGAGTGCTCAAAAACAGCTCAATGTTAACAGATAATGCCGACTCAAGCCTCCTCCACACCATCCAATGTAGCACAAATAGCGTTCACCCACTCCATGGGGACCATTAACTCCTAATGCGGCAGACATCCAAATGGCATGTATATAAAATAGTAGCCCTTCCATAGTGTAAATCCTTCTTAAAATTATTTCTGAAAATCAAGGTATGCACTTATAAAGTCCAAAGTGAGATATAACGCTGTACAATCAAAAAACTTGACATATTCCCACATCAAAAATGGCTGTGAAAGTGTACGCATGCGTGGTGACGTATGCCCACACTCTTACCAACGCATTTCGTCATAATTGACATCAGTGGTCAAAATTCTTTCTTTTTTTTTCATTGCAAGTTCCCCTCTGATCTAGAGCAACTGCACTTCCAAGTGCACAACCTATTCGCCTTTAGTAAATCAACCCCTTAGTGTTGCCATGCCTTGTCCTTACCTCTGTCACGTGTTCATTTGGAAAAAAAAAAAAAAAGGCTTGTGAAATATAAATAAGAAAGAAAAGTAACTTTACTCTTAAATTAAATATCGATCTTGGTTCTTTAACCCTTTTGCTGACAGAACCCTTTTTTCATTTTTCACACACATTCTCATATTTGGCCCGAAGATTGCCTAAAACCCCCAAAACATTACATATTTTCTAAAAAAAAAGCATAAAGAATGAAATGATGGTAGTCACATTTTTTTGTGTCAAACGATGTTAATGCAACTGTTTACCAAATCTATATTTTCAGTAAAAAAAAAACTACTGAAATAATTTTTTTTATACATTCTTTTTTTATGTTCACCAGTTAAGAACATTTCCAAAGTAAAAGAAAGACCACAGTGGATACAGTAGCTAACACCAGTTAGTTTAAAGTGGTTCTAAAGGCAGAACATGTTGTACGCTAACGCATTCCCCCTTATACTTTCCTGAGTCCTATCTCAATCCAGCGCTGTGCCCATCCACGGTGCTGGTCTCTCTCTTTCTCCTCACAGGACGTAGCAGCAGTAGTCATTGGTGAGATATGTGTAAACAGTAATTGTACCACATGTGAGTTATCACAGTCAATGTCAGAAGGAGAGCAATAATGCTAGTGTCCAATTCTTGATTACCGTATTTTTCACTCCATAAGACACACCTAACCATAAGACGCACCTAGGTTTTAGAGGCAGAAAACAGGAAAAAAAATATTCTGAACCAATGGACTGCAGACATAGTACAGGAGATGAACAGAGACTGCGGACATAGTACAGGAGATGACCAAAGACTGGGGACACAGTACAGGAGATGACCAGAGACTGGGGACACAGTACAGGAGATGACCAGAGACTGCGGACACAGTACAGGAGATGACCAGAGACTGCGGACACAGTACAGGAAATGACCAGAGACTGCAGACACAGTACAGGAGATGACCAGAGACTGCGGACACAGTACAGGAGATGACCAGAGACTGCGGACACAGTACAGGAGATGACCAGAGACTGCGGACACAGTACAAGAGATGACCAGAGACTGCGGACACAGTACAGGAGATGACCAGAGACTGCGGACACAGTACAGGAGATGACCAGAGACTGGGGACACAGTACAGGAGATGACCAGAGACTGCGGACACAGTACAGGAGATGACCAGAGACTGCGGACACAGTACAAGAGATGACCAGAGACTGCGGACACAGTACAGGAGATGACCAGAGACTACAGACACAGTACAAGAGATGACCAGAGACTACAGACACAGTACAGGAGATGACCAGAGACTGCAGACACAGTACAGGAGATGACCAGAGACTGCGGACAGTACAGGAGATGGACCAGAGACTGCGGACACAGTACAGGAGATGACCAGAGACTGCGGACACAGTACAGGAGATGACCAGAGACTGCGGACAGTACAGGAGATGACCAGAGACTGCGGACAGTACAGAGATGACCAGAGACTGTGGACAGTACAGGGGATGACCAGAGACTGCGGACACAGTACAGGAGATGACCAGAGACTGCGGACACAGTACAGGATATGACCAGAGACTGCGGACATAGTACAGGAGATGACCAGAGACTGCGGACACAGTACAGGAGATGACCAGAGACTGCGGACACAGTACAGGAGATGACCAGAGACTGCGGACAGTACAGGAGATGACCAGAGACTGCGAACAGTACAGAGATGACCAGAGACTGTGGACAGTACAGGGGATGACCAGAGACTGTGGACAGTACAGGAGATGACTGCTGACCTTTGGGGAGGGGGGGGAGCGGGTACCTGAATTTGACAGGTACCCGCTCTTACTTCCGCAGAGTTGTTCTTTGGTTAGTGTCCGCACTGCAGCGGGACCTTACCTGTTCCTCTATCCAGCGGCAGGCTGTCTTCACGGCTTCTGTAGTGTGGGCGTTCGGCTTGACAGCCGGGTGCCCAGTGCGCATGAGCGAGAAGCTCTGCGCTTTGTGATTGGTCCGGCGGCTTCTGGGACCTGTCATGTGTCCCAGGTGCCGCCTTACCATTCACAAAGTGCACCGCTTCTTGCGCATGCGCACTTGGCACCCGGCTGTCAAGCCGAGTGCCCACACTACAGAAGCCGAGAAGACAGCGCGGCACTGGATAGAGGAACAGGTAAGGTCCCGCTGCAGAGCTGAGCGGCCGGCCCGGTATTCTGACACGACGGCGGTGGAAATACCGGAGCAGCCACTCCATATTCGCTCCATAAGGCGCACTGACATTTTCCCCCCTTTTTTGCGGGAAAAAAAGTGCGTCTTATGGAGCGAAAAATACGGTAATTCTAAATTGATAACCTGTAAAGGCTTTTTTTAAAGCATCCCCTAAGAACAAATGTAGGTAAATTGGTTTGCTGCCATTTCACTGGCATGTACAGTTTTTATTCTTGACATGTTTGGTATCTGTTTACCTGAAACAACGTCATCTTTTTATATTTCACCTAAAAATGTGTATTATATTGTGTTTGTATGAACTGAAATTCATTTAAAGTGGTTGTAAAGGCTGAAGGTTTTTTACCTTCATGCATTCTTTGCATGAAGGTAAAAAACCTTCTGTGTGCTGCTCCCCCCACAGCCCCCCTCCAATACTTACTGAGCCCCCTCTTGATCCAGTGATGTGCCTAGAGCGCCTAGACGGTCCTGTTTTTCTCTCTCCTCTTTGGCTGAGACACAGTAGCAGAAGCCATTGGCTTCCACTGCTGTCAGTCACAGCTAGTGAGCCAATGAGGAGAGAGTGGGGGAGCAGGGGTGAGCCACAGCTCTATGTGTCTTATGGATGCATAGAGCAGGGCTCAGGAGCGAGCACACACCAGTGCCCCCATAGAAAGCGGCATGCTATTGGGGGCACTGATCAAGGGGAGCAACCACCAGCACCGGAAGGGGACCCGAGAAGAAGAGGATGGGGGCTGCTCTGTGCAAAACCATTACACAGAACAGGTAAGTATGAAATGTTTGTTATAAAAAAAAAACCTTTAGAATCACTTTTAAGTGTATTTTTATTTGCATTTGATAAACGGCTGCACAAATATGTAACATAAAAATTACTTCCACCATTTTATTCTCCAGGGCCTCTGTTTTCAGAACATAATGTTTGCGGTTTCTAAGTAATTTTCTAGCCAAAAATGCTGATTTTAAAAATGTATGTGAATGTTTTCAAAGTGGTTAAAGTGCATGTATACCCCCAATTTTCTTTTGTTTCGGATAGAGTAGGAAAGCATTAGAACCCCTGTCAAGTTTATAGTGCTGTTGATGTCTCTGCTGGGTATATTAATTTTTTCTACTTGTCCTGGTGAATTGATACAAAATAGGAAGGAAAGTTCAACATTTTTCACATTTGTCATGCAATAGGAATTTAGGGAGATGTATAAATTTCCCTTTCTTGTAGAGATTTCCTCTTACATCCTATTGCCTCTCTGGGACAGAAGAGGGAAAGAAAATCTCCCCAAAGCAACACGGACACCTAAAACAAATAAACCGACAAGGACTTTAATTTTTTGTTATGCTAACCAAAGTTTAGAGTGTTTGACCAGTCAAAACTTTTCTCCTAATTTTGGATAAAGTAGGGAAGGTTTTGAACCTCTATCAGGTATTAACTGTTATCCAGGGCTTTAGAGTGATTTTTTTTTCTCGCTTCCTGTGTTGCTGATATTTTGAAGTGAACTCTCCAACAGCAATACAACCACACATTTTTTTTTTACTAGAGTAGGGGATAGGCTAAAAAAAAGTGTCTGCTTTTTGTTTTCTCTCTTCTCTTCACTTGTGGTAAAACCATTGCCAAAAGGAAAAAAGTGAGGGGGAAAAAAGTTCCAGCATGTGTGGTAATCATGTGGGCCATCCAAAAAAAAAATAAAATCATCTCTTGCTCCAGCCCAATCCCACTAGGTAGTTTAGAGCAGCAAAAATGGCCTCTTTCACACAGGTCAGACTCTGTTATGATCAGCAGGGGATCTGTCCCGCTGATCCACTGATGATCAGAACAGAGCAGGTGGATGACAGGTCCGTATCGGTTCAGTTTATGAAGAGCAAACATGGACAAAGCCCACTCTGCTGTATGGGTGGCCGGGGGTAAATGAACTCCACTGTCCATTTAGACCCTGTGACAGAAGCGTAGGCAGGACAGAACACACAAAGAAGATGGGGAACACACAAAGCTTTATTGAACTATGAAAGATACTAAATCAGGACAGTTCAAGGCACTCCACGACATGCGACTTGTAGGGACACCCACGGTAAGGGGGCTCACGGGGACTCAATGGGACCTTGGCTGTGGAGTCTGGCCTCAACACAGCTCCCACCCAGCTTTCTAGGGACATCGGGCACACAGGGACTCAAGGGGACTTGGGTTGTGGAGTCTGGCCTCAACACAGCGTGCTAGGGATGACATCAGGCTCACGGGAACTCAACGTGACTTTAGCTGTGGAGTCTGGCCTCAGCACAGCTCCCACCCAGCTTTCTAGGGACATCGGGCTCACGGTGACTCGACGGGACTTGGGCTGTGGAGTCTGGCCTCAACACAGCATGCTAGGGACGACATCGGGCTCATGGGGACTCAAGGGGACTTGGGCTCTGGAGTCTGGCCTCAACACAGCGTGCTAGGGACGACATCAGGCTCACGGGGACTCAACGGGACTTTAGCTGTGGAGTCTGGCCTCCGCACAGCTCCCCCCCAGCTTTCTAGGGACATCGGGCTCACGGGGACTCAACGGGACTTAGGTTGTGGAGTCTGGCCTCAACACAGCATGCTAGGGACGACATCAGGCTCACGAGGACTCAACGTGACTTTAGCTGTGGAGTCTGGCCTAAGCACAGCTCCCACCCAGCTTTCTAGGGACATCGGGCTCACGGGACTCAATGGGACTTGGGCTGTGGAGTCTGGCCTCAACACAGCCTGCTAGGGACGATTCAGGGTACGGGTGGTCTGTGCACACAACAGGGACAGTTCAGGAAACGGGTGGTCTGTGCACACAACAGGGAAAGTTCAGGACACGGGTGGTCTGTGCACACAATAGGGACAGTTCATGACACGGGTGGTCTGTGTGCACAACAGAGACAGTTCAGGACATGGGTGGTCCTGTGCGCACAACAGGCACAGTTCAGGACACGGGTGGTCTGTGCACACAACGGACAGTTCAGGACACGGGTGGTCTGTGCACACAACAGGGAGAGTTCAGGACACGGGTGGTCTGTGCGCACAACAGGGACAGTTCAGGACACGGGTGGTCTGTGCGCACATCAGGGACAGTTCTGGACACTGGTGGTCTGCGCGCACAACAGGAACAGTTCAGGACACGGGTGGTCTGTGCGCACAACAGGGGCAGTGCAGGACAAGGGTGGTCTGTGCGCACAATAGGGACAGTTCATGGCTTCTAGGGACACTCACAATAGGCGTCTTGCAGGTGCTTAGCAGCAGGCGGCTTCCAGGAAGGTAGGCGACTTGCGGACGCTCAGCAGCAGGCAGCCTTCAGGGACAAAGCGGCCAGCAGACAGGTCGGCTTCCCAGGGGCCCCACGATCAGCAGACAAGGTGGCTTCCCAGGGCCCCAGCGATCAGCAGACAGGGCGGCTTTCCAGGGCCCCAGTGATCAGCAGACAGGGTGGCTTCCCAGGGGCCCAACGATCAGAAGACAGGACGGCTTCCCAGGGCCCCCCAGCGATCAGCAGACAGGACGGCTTCCCATGGGCCCCACGATGAGCAGACAGGGTGACTTCCCAGGGCCCCAGCGATCAGCAGACAGGGCGGCTTCCCAGGGGCCCAACAATCAGCAGACAGGATGGCTTCCCAGGGCCCCCAGCGATCAGCAGACAGGACGACTTCCCAGGGGCCCCACGATCAGCAGACAGGGCGGCTTCCCAGGGGCCCACTGATCAGCAGACAGGGGCACAGCGGGCTTCGGCAGGTAGGGGCACAGCAGGCTTGCAGGGGCTCGGCAGGGTCTTGGCAGTGCGGGGTCTGTGCCTGGGATGGTTCTGAGCTTTGGGAGAGTTTCATGCAGAAGGCTCAGCAGGGATGGCTGCGGAGGCCCGGTCCCCACCCGGACCTCCCAGCGGCTTCCAGGGAGATGATTCCAGCAGCATGCACAGGGACAGAGAGGGCGGCGTGGTCCCGCGCCAGCCTTTTTAAAGCCGTGTGGGACACTTCCGGGTTGCCCCGGCAATGGCTGGCCCAGCACCGCGTTGCCTAGGCAAGGAGGCACGCCCCCCTCACTCCTGCCACGTGGGGGGGAGTGCGGCCTTTGTACCCAGCTGTTTTGCCAGAGGAGAGGTGCTAACCGCACAACAGGGGGCATTTCCTTCCTCCCGTCCTGCACAGCCTTTTGATGTAGGTTGGCAGGACTGAGGAGTCTGCAAGGGGGGAGGGAGGGGTGGAGGGATCCGGCAGAGGGACAGCAGGCAAAGGGGGGTGTGGAAGGCACGGGCACTCCGTGACAGACCCAACTGACCTCCAGTCTGCCTTGATGGAAGGGGGCAGTTCCCCTTCCATTTTTGATCAGACTGGAGGAAGGCAGTTGTAAACAAACACTGACCCATTTACACCTGTCAGTCCATAGGGGTGAATGGACCATCTGATCAAGTCCACCTGATAAACTGATCTCAGCCTAATAGTGATTTGTTTCTTATTAAAAAACAAAATGGAAAACACAATAAATACTAATTCAGTTTTATTACGCATCAACTATAGAATTTATATGAATGCTGCCATATTTAAAAATGGGAACAAGAACCTCTAAAAAAACAACCTCATGTCACTCTTCATAATAGAAAACATTGAATACATTTTATACCATTTATACAAATGCATATATTTTTTTAAACAAACATTTAAAACAATAGGAAAAACACCAGTTCCATTTCATACAGCATACAAACTTAAAATACAGGTGTACCTTTGGTTAAAAAAATGTGTATGCCACGCCCTGTTTGATATTACACACCAAAAAATGACTGCAGCATGGTGCCCTATTACACTGTCTGTATTTCCTCTGCATTAAGTATTGTTTACTTTCAGTTTTCCTCCAGGCCAAGCCCAGCTCTCCTATTCATCCCTATGAAGGCTGTGATTGTGCATGTGCGCTGGTGCACAGAAGCTTGAAGAAAAATTTAAAGTAAACAATGCTTGGCACAGTTGTAAGTTGGGCAATCTTGACATTGTGCTGCATCTGAGGTTCAGTTTTTTTTTGTTTTTTGATAGAAAGCTAATGTAGTGGGGAACTGCGTAGACAGTCTTTTTTATGCAAATGTAGAGCTGTCCTTGAGAGGACAAGTTCACTTTAGTAAAAGTCCACGCTCCCTAGCCCCAAACTGAAGCTAACCTATAAACCAATTAGCCGAACGCTTACCCCTTACCACAACCCTCACTGCTCTTTACCTCTTCTGGGCCTAAATCCTCTTCAACACTGGCCAAGCCTGTGCAGTAAGACCTTAAAGCTTGAATAGAGTCAAATTCTTTGAGTCTCAAGATTCATTGTGTAGAGGGTGGACTTGCAGTTTTTTATTTTAAAAGTAAACTTGTCTTTCAACCATAATTTGAACAGTCCAATCACCGCTGTATTACAAATGAGACATAATACAGATATAACCACAAACCTGTACTTAAAGCGTATCTATGGTCAAAAAGTAAACTCATGTATTAAAGTGGAACTTCACTCTGTCGATCAGCATTGACTATTTTTAATCCTTATGCTGCTAGCATTAGTAATTAGATAGGAACATACTTACAGGTGAAACTCGAAAAATTAGAATATCGTGCAAAAGTTCATTTATTTCAGTATTGCAACTTAAAAGGTGAAACTAATATATGAGATAGACTCATTACATGCAAAGCAAGATAGTTCAAGTTGTGATTTGTCATAATTGTGATGATTATGGCTTACAGCTCATGAAAACCCCAAATCCACTATCTCAGAAAATTAGAATATTGTGAAAAGGTGCAATATTCTAGGCCAATGGTTCTTAACCTGGGTTCGATCGAACCCCAGGGGTTCAGTGAGTCAGTCTCGCGGGTTCGGCAGAGGTGAAGACCCACACCCGACTCATATGATTCGTGCAGTAAATATTCATTATTATGTTTTTGTTTTTGTGTGAAAATCATGTTTTAATGGTTTTGTTCTTTGTTCTTAACGGTTTTGTTCATTTTGCGCACCTATGTATAAATATATACCTATGTTTTGAATTTTAAAAATCATATTTTATTTTTCCAATTAAGAAGGGTTCGGTGAATGCGCATATGAAACTGGTGGGGTTCAGTACCTCCAACAAGGTTAAGAACCACTGTTCTAGGCTCAAAGTGTCCCACTCTAATCAGCTAATTAAGCCATAACACCTGCAAAGGGTTCCTGAGCTTTTAAATGGTCTCTCAGTCTGGTTCAGTAGGAATCACAATCATGGGAAAGACTGCTGACCTGACAGTTGTGCAGAAAACCATCATTGACACCCTCCATAAGGAGGGAGAGCCTCAAAAGGTAATTGCAAAAGAATTTGGATGTTCCCAAAGTGCTGTATCAAAGCACATTAATAGAACGTTATGTGGAAGGGAAAAGTGTGGAAGAAAAAGGTGCACAAGCAGCAGGGATGACCGCAGCCTGGAGAGGATTGTCAGGAAAAGGCCATTCAAAAGTGTTGGGGACTTTCACAAGGAGTGGACTGAGGCTGGAGTCAGTGCATCAAGAGCCACCACACACAGACGGATCCTGGACATGGGCTTCAAATGTCATATTCCTCTTGTCAAGCCGCTCCTGAACAACAAACAACGTCAGAAGCGTCTTACCTGGGCTAAAGAAAAACAGACCTGGTCTGTTGCTCAGTGGTCCAAAGTCCTCTTTTCTGATGGGAGCAACTTTTGCATCTCATTTGGAAACCAAGGACCCAGAGTATGGAGGAAGAATGGAGAGGCACACACTGCAAGATGCTTGAAGTCCAGTGTGAAGTTTTCCACAGTCTGTGTTGATTTGGGGAGCCATGTCATCTGCTGGTGTTGGTCCACTGTGCTTCATTAAGTCCAGGGTCAATGCAGCCATCTACCAGGAGATTTTGGAGCACTTCATGCTTCCTTCCACAGACGAGCTTTATGGGGATGCTGACTTCATTTTCCAGCAGGACTTGGCACCTGCCCACACTGCTAAAAGCACCAAAACCTGGTTCAAAGACCGTGGGATTACTGTGCTTGATTGGCCAGCAAACTCACCTGACCTGAACCCCATAGAGAATCTATGGGGCATTGCTAAGAGAAAGATGAGAGACATGAGACCCAACAATGCAGAAGAGCTGTAGGCCACTATTGAAGCATCCTGGTCTTCCATAACACCTCAGCAGTGATAGCTTTCTTAGATAGATTTCTGATAGCTTCCATGCCACACCGCATTGAGGCAGTAATTGCTGCAAAAGTGGCCCAAACCAAGTACTGAGTACATATGCATGCTTATGCTTTTCAGAGGTCCGATATTGTTCTATGTACAATCCTTGTTTTATTGATTGCATGTAATATTCTAATTTTCTGACATTGTGGATTTGGGGTTTTCATGAGCTGTAAGCCATAATCATCACAATTATGACAAATCACGGCTTGAACTATCTTGCTTTGCATGTAATGAGTCTATCACATATATTATTTTCACCTTTTAAGTTGCATTACTGAAATAAATGAACTTTTGCACGATATTCTAATTTTTTGAGTTTCACCTGTATATACTTATATATACTTGTTTTAAACTATTGTTTTACATTTTTTGAAATCTTGCCTAGGATAACGATGTCATACATCCCAGGCGGGAAGGAGGGATTTCTCAGCTAAACACACCCTCCTGCTTGTATGCCTGAGCTTAGTGCAGATGGATTCCAGGAAGTAAATACTACATTAATCGTCTGCCCTTACTCAAGATGGCCATGACCAGAAATGCTGAAAGTGACCATGACCTGAAATTTCAAAGTGATTTCTCAGCAAAATAAAGCATGGAGACATAGAATAATAAAAATGAATTAAATAGCAATTTTGTTTTGTGGTGCTCAGATACAGTGTAGTTCTGCTTTAATTTCCACATTATTGTTAAATTATTCCTAGGCTACTACTATTTACCTGAATGATCTTGAAGTCTCTAAACTTACTTTGTGAGATCTCCACACATTAACTTCCTTGAATTCTGTAACATATATTCACTATGTCCTGCGAGTAGAAATTGCTGTGTCACACATTTCACAGAGCCTGCCTTTTGAAGTACAGAGGTGCTGAGAGGAGGAGGTTCTAGAGTCAGTACAAAAGTCGCTGCTTGCAGGCAGCAAGGTATTTGGGGTATGTGTGAACACCAGTAAAAAACAAAAAGGAGCTACAACCCAATTAGGGTTATCACTAAGACTGTTTTCAACCTATTGTATTTTTTATGTAATTTGTTGTGGTCGTTTCAACAAAGAGGAAGATTTTAGTGCAGTGGCAGTTGTGCTGATCTTTTTTCCAATTGTGGAGTATGTAGTCCTTTGAAATTAAAAGTAAACAGCAGAGGAGAAGCTGCAAAGCATGCAGGGAAAACAGAACGTTGTGGACAACATGAAAGGAGATTTGTAACCACTTGCCCTCCTGAAGATTTACCCCCCTTCCTGACCAGGCCATTTTTTGCATTAGGGCGCTGCATTACTTTGACAATTGCGTGGTCATGAAACGCTGCACCCTAAATTAAATTTACGTCCTTTTTTTTTTCATGAATTGAGTTTTCTTTCAGTGGTATTTGATCACCTGTGCATTTTTTAATTTTTTGTGCTATAAAAAAAAGACCGATAATTTTGAGGAAAAAAAACTATATTTTTGACTTTTTGCCTTAAACATGTCCAGTAAAAAAAATGTTAAAATCAAATTTCGTCATATATTTAGGCCAAAATGTATTCTGCTCCATGTCTTTGCTAAGAAAAAAATCCCAATACATGTAAATTAATTGATTTATTTGAAAGTTATAGCGTCTACAAACGGCGTTATACTGGAATTTTTTATTTTTTTTTATACTAGTAATGGCGGTGATCAGTGACTTATAGCAGGACTGCAGTGGGTGTTCTGGCACTGGGTGGGACCTAACTGCCACTGACATCCCCAATGACACTAATACAGTTAACATCTGGGGCGATCAAAGGGTTAACTGTGCTGTGTGTGTTGCACATTATGTGCTGTGTGTGTTTTACTATGGAGACATGCTGCTTTGTATTTCTCTGCTGTGCAGAGAAATACAAAGCAGCATGTTCTTGCTGACAGGAGAGAGAACTGTTTTGTTGTTTATACCCAGGTCTCTCCCCTGTCAGCTTTCTCCGACAATCATCAAGTGCCTGCGGAGAATCAGCGGCCAGGACCCGGGGATTGACATCTCTAGTCACCAACAGCGGAATGCAAATCACCCTGCAGCAGTACTTTTAATATAGGGTGGCTGGCAAGCGGCTAAATATTTAAGTCATCATAAAGCCCCTTTTGTTTTTTAAAAGCCCCAGACGTAATAAGACACTTGTAATGGTGGCAATCAGCGACTGCGGGATAGCGGGACTGCGACAGGTATTCTGACACTGGGGGGAACTGAGTTGGTGTCACTGACATCCCCAGTGACACCAATATAGTGATCAGTGCTAATAAAAAGCACTGACACTGTACTAATGGCACTAGGCAGGAAGGGGTTAACATGATGGGACGAATAAAGGGTTATTTCTGTGCTGGGAGTGTTTTACTGGGGGGGTGTTGTTGCTTCACTGTAAGCACTCTGTTCTGGGTGGCTGTGCTGTGCACAGCCATCCAGAGCAGTGTGCCAGAGCCAACGGGGGGGAGGACTGATAGTAAACAAAGCAGCCCTCCTCCCTGTCAGAGATCCTCGGTAACCACCGGGTGCCGGCGGATAATCACCAGGCAGGACCCGGTGATTGACAGCCCGGCTGCGAATGGTGGCGCGGGTAGGGTGCATTCACGGCTCGCGCTCTCCCCCTACCAGCAATTACAGAATCAAGTATATATACGTGATTTTTGCGCACCCCTGCTGCCCTTTAGCAGTATATCTGCTATAGGACAGTCGGGAAGCAGTTAAAGGAACCTTAAATGACCATAGAACTCCTTTAATATGTGGCAGGTGTCTGCAGACATTGAGGAGTGAAGTGGAATCAATATACTAAAAATGAACACATAGGGGTATATTTACAAAGCAGCATGTGACATTCACCCATCAGTCACTGCAGGTGAATTAGTCCCCATAATTTAAAACACAAGAACTAGGAAGGTGCACCTGGCAGAGAATGTTTGGTGAATGACCAATTTTACTGTTTCATAAAAATAGTCCATATTGTTGTTGCTTTCATACTTTAAAGATAACTGGACAATAACAAGTATATTAATATGTTTGTTTTAGTTTATGTTAAGAGGGAATCTGTTTTAGCTGCTGCCTCAGACAGAATGACCAAGTGTACCCTCACTCCATTTCAACCATCATACAAAAGGAATGCAGCACTAAGTGGGTTTGTGTTATAGAGCACTCAGGAAACAGGCTTAATGAGGCTATAATCTAGGCATTTGACCAGGGCTTCTCTGGCTACAGCTATAATGTGTTCCTTCTTTGGATTGTTCTCCTCTTTTCCAATAACCGTTAGGATCTCCAGCATTTCAGCCTCCACCAGTTTCTTTGCAAGCTCTTTGTCAGCATTAATCAGGTTGTAGGTAATCACAACTCCACGGTGCTGAACCTGCAAGTCTTCATTAAGGCAAAGTCTCTGCAGGATCTCCATCCACTGTGTAGTCTAAAAAATGCATGCACACATAAATTATTTATATATAAAGGGATATGTCAAAATGCAAAGCCAAATTTAAGAATGATAAATAGAAACAAACACTAAACTAAAAGCTTCCCATATAATGTTCCTATTATACTGTAGCTTTTGCACAGTCCAAAAGAGTTTTACAGTTCTGCCCAGTGCACTGACCAACATACCTGTCATAAACACCCCTTTTTTCCAGCAATACAAGTATGCGTGAGGATGAACTTAGAATCCATAAGATTCAACTAAATGTGTCTTCTCTTTCACTTACATTTTAAGACAAAACCTGTTTCAGCTTGCACTAATTACTTGAGATACCCACTGCATTGCTGGATGGACACAAATGGTCAAAAAACATCTTGTGTATGTAAATACTTCCAGTGACCTATGCCATGTCTCTCTCTTCAGAGAGAAGACAAGTGAAGGCTTCTTTACGTACAATTACTGATAATGATGTTACTGTTAAAACATAGACCACCAATGTGAAGATGCGCAGTGGTTGCAGCCAAGTCACTTGAAGATCTGAGGCCTATGGGACTAATTACATAATCCGGCTTATATATGTAAAGGAGACCTTTTCAAGGAGAAATATGGAGGACATCACTGTAAACTTTTCCTTCTGCAAAACGTAGTTTCCTGTCAATCATGCTGACCTTCATGCTTCAATATTTGATTCATTTACCAAAAAAGTATGCAGATAATATGATTATGATTTTACTCTGGCGTTTGTGATATCAAGAATGGTTCCAGGTCAATGACTTCGAAAGAACTGAAGCTAGTGGGTCAGCGTAATAGCCAAGTAACTATAATTTCAGAAGGAGGTAAGCTATGGCAGCCCCATATTACTCTCTAGGTTTACTTGAATCAGCACGTTCTTTGTTCAAATTTTAACTGCTTCAAAACCAAGTTACAACCCCTTCCTATCCACTCAATTTGACAGTTTTCAGTGCTGGGATTATTTGACTATTACTTGGTCTCCTTGTCTTCCTTATTTTCTAGTATAAAACATATTAAATAAAAATACCAATACCGTATGTAATGCCTATGAAATGTGTTGGCCTTTGACCCTTTTTTTTTGTGGAATCATTACAATAAAGCATCGTTGCCCATATGCCAGAAGCACGAGAAATGACATTGATGTCATTTCTCTAGGCTAATGCCGGCCATAGAGGGTTCGTTTATGGCCGAATTTTCAGCCGAAAAACAAAAAATCGGTCATTCTGTTGCCACCAATGCTTACGAAAATCGGTCGTTTTTTGTAAATTTTCCAGCATGACCGATAAAAGAAACGAGGAGGAACCACGAAAATCGGCTGACGACATTGCCCCACTAACAGTGTGAATATCGGCCAATTATTCTTTCTGACGAAAATTCGACCGATAAACGAACTGTCAATGGCCTGCATAAAGGAACAGAAGACATTAGACTGCTTAAAGCAGATAAGAAGTGTTTGTGGGATTGAATGTGTTTGTGACATCTAGAAATGTTACATTGGACTACTTAAATTAGATAAGATCTTGTTTGTGCATTTAAAAATGTTTACTTGTTAGAAATCTTTAAGTTAAGGGTAGATAAGAAGCTGATTTGTGAAAAGTGTGATAATACTAGAGAAGATGTTTGCTAGTAAAGTGACTGGGTGTGACTAACGGAACCTTTCTGCTAACTCCTCCTAGAGTGGGCGTGATGCCTGCCCATTTTGGAAGAGTTGCCATGAGACTTTAACAGGGAATATAAGGAGAGGCTGAACACGGTCAATTTGGGGGAGCCTTTCTATGCGAAAGGGGACGCTCTGACGCTGGGATTTTTGCCAAGGTTATGTGGGCTCATCAAATTGGTCGTGTTTAAGGCTTCTTTCGCCACCCCCTGTGCATTATGGTTCCGATGGGGTCTGTTCCTTCCCGTCTTCCCATAGTTTTGGTAATGTATTAATTCTATGCTGTGACGCTGTCAAAAGATGTGTGTATCTCATGCTGTAATGCTCACATTATTATTGGTGTGTGTTAATATGCAGATTGTGAGGCCTATAAGATATATCCTCCTGTGTGTCATGTGATAATAAAAGTGGAGGTTTTGACAGTGCAAGAATAATGCAGTTGGAATCTGTTATTTCTTGGAGTTTTGAGTGAATGCTATGATGTGCCAGGGCAGGTGTTCATTTGGTAGTGGGTCTCTCACATGCTTAGAATAATTAATGGTGTAAATGCTGGATAAATCATACTCCCTGTGTAGTGTGTGTGACTTGTTTTTGGTGCTTTAATCCAGCATTGCATTACACCGTAGAAACACAGCCAAAATAAAAAACATTGTAAAATACCCCCCCTTCCCCAAGGTGATTCTTTTTTGTCTGCATTATTTGGAAATGAAATATGCTGGTACTTAGGTGGCTTAAGGTGTGCATGGCCTTTAACACATTGTTACTGTTTCACAGGCTCGCACAATTTTAGGGCTTAACATGTTTGGTATCTATTTCATTGGCACAACCTCATCTTTTATATTTTACAAAAATGGGTAATCTATTGTGTTTTGTACACTAAAATTAATGTTGGTGCATTTTTTTTTACTGAAAACATGGGTTTGATAAACAATTGACAAAACAATCCCACAACCATTGGTGGTCATTGGCATTTTAACTCCACCCCCCCCCCCCCCCCTTTCCTCACTGGATTGCAAGCCACCCTCTGCTTCCTTTCTCTTCTCTTCTTTCATCAGGCTGTGATCCTTCCTTTTGCATGCTTTTGTTATGAGAAGGAGTGGCGAGCACTCAAATGTAAATAGTAGTATAGTAAGTCCCTGACTTACGAACATTTGAGTTGCAAACTTTCACAGATACAAATGGACCTTGCATTATGAACATTCGTAGATGTGAACAAAGCGCTGGAAGTAGCTCACGTGTCTGCCGGACATTGTCACAGCTGCGCTGCTGTGTGATTACTGTACATTACAGTGCGATAGTGTAATGTACAGAGCCCAGGATGTCCGGAAGCAAGAGGAAAAGCAGTGGTGATGTGGGGGGGACTGCTAGGAAGCGCAAAGCAATAACCATGGAAACAAAGTGAAAATAATTGAGAGATTAGACCGAGGTGAAAAGATGATAGACATTGCTCGTTCATATAACTTGAATCGCTTAACTATTGGCACAATTCTAAAGAACAAGGCCAAGATCATGGAACATGTGAAGTCTGCTGTGCCTATGAAGTCAACAGTAATATCCAAAAAGTGTGGTAAAGTGATAGAGGAGATTGAGAAACTTCTCAATGTGTGGATGCAGGATCTGCATCAGCGTCAGGTCCCACTCAGCTTAATGCTTATTCAAGAAAAAGCTAAAAGCCTGTTTTGAAGACTTGAAGAAAAAATGGGGTGAACCGTGTGCATCTTTTACTGCCTGCCATGGATGGTTTAACAGATTCAAGGCTAGAGCCAACCTTCACAATGTAAAAGTAAGTAGTGAGGCTGTGAGTGAAGATACCATAGCTGCCAAAGAATTTCCAGCAACACTTACAGAAATTATTGACAAAGGTGCTTATATACCCCCACAGATTTTTAATGTCAATGATACAAGACTGTACTGGAACAGGATGCCAGAACGAAGTTACATCAGTAAAGAGGAAAAGGTGATGCCAGGCTTTAAAGCAGCAAAGGACAGACTTTCTCTGTTGTTTGGTGGCAATGCTTCTGGTGATAAGAAACTAAAGCCTCTCTTAGTTTACCATTCAGAGAACCCAAGAGCCCTCAAAAACATGGCCAAGGGCTCTCTACCTGTTGTGTGGAAGAGTAATTCCAAAGCCTGGGTTACACAAGCTATTTTCCGGGACTGGTTTTTCAACCACTTTATCCCAGAGATAGAGAAATATTGTTTAAGAGAAAGATATCCCATTCAACATTCTTTTGCTGCTTGACAATGCACCAGGTCACCCCCAATTCATGGATGACTTTCATCCCAACGTCAAAGTAGTGCATCTGCCCCCCAATACTCAAACCTATGAACCAAGGAGTTATTGCGACTTTCAAAAAATATTATTTATGTCCCACTTTTCATCAGGCAGTGACATTGCCTGACAATTTGCGACAATTTAGGAAGGACTATAACATCTACAGGCCATAAAAACATCAACTTTGCTTGGGGTGAGGTTTCGGCTGTCACCATGAATGGGGTTTGGAAGAACCTTTGCCCGCAGTTAGTTCATGGACTTGAGAAGATGGGTAAGGAGTCCAAAGAGGTCTTCAACAACTTAGTGACCCTTTGCACGAAGCTGGAGCTAGATCTGCAGGAGGACAACTTTATTGAACTCCTTACTGTGCAACATGAGGAGCTTACTAATGAGCACCTGATGGAATTAGAGGCCCAGCGAAAATACAAAGACAGCCAAGAGGAAGATGTAACTGAACCAAAGAGATTCACAACACAGGAAATGACAAGGGGATATACTTTACTTGAAGAGGCAATGTTAGTTTTTGAGGTACAGGACCCCATCGTAAAACGATACACAAAGGTTGCAGCAGCCGTTCAGAATGCCATCCAGTGCTACAGAGTCATCTATGATGAGAAAAAAAGAGCTACTACTCAGACATTTCTGGATCATTTTTTCCAGAGGGTAGTCAGAAGTGAATCCATCAAAAAACCTGTGTCATCAACATCAGGTGTGAGTGAAATTCCATCTTGCCCTCCATCTCCTATTGTTGATGATCCTTCAGCTCCATCAACATCAGGTATGGGCCAAATTCCATCTTGCCCTCCATCTCCTATTGCTGATAATCCTTCAGATCCATCAACATCAGGTGAGGGCCAAATTCCATCTTGCCCTCCATCTCCTATTGCTGATGATCCTTCAGCTCCACCATCTCCCACCTACCTTCCCTCTTCCAGTTAGTAACTCTCTTTCACTACTTGCCAGTTGTGGTACTGTACTGTACCACCATTTTAAGGTAACTGTTAAAGTGAAAATTTTTACAGTTTTCCTATACCACCATTTTAAGTTACAGTAACTGTAAAAGTAAAACATTGTTTATTTACAGTATTTTTTTGTGTGTGTGTTTTTTTTTTATGCTTTACATTGTATATTTGTGTCAAAGGTGTATAAGACTCACTTTGTCGGACTTACGAACGAATCCGATTTACAAACGTTCTCCCGGAACGGAACTCGTTCTTAAGTCAGGGACTTACTATACTGTTTACATTTTTGAATGCTGTGTTGGTCAATCTGATTGGCTCTGTGTCTTTTGCTTTTGATATCTGCTGTCTAATGACAGTGGGATCATAGGCATTTTGTGAAAGCCTGGCCTGCTTTAAGAATGAGGATGTTTATAAATGACCATTTAGAACTGCAGCACTCCTGACTGGCCATTTATCTACATCAGTTATTGAAGTGGTAGTTAAACATGATCATTGTATTTGATTTTGTTTGGGGTTTTTTTTGCATTAATGTGGTTTTTTTTGTTTTTACATTATTTAAGAGCTTTTATGAGATATAAAAATTAATTACCTTAAACAAAAATTTTTTTCTTCTGAATGAGATCTCATTTACCCTAAAGCTGCTTAGAAGCATGGCTTCTCATTTGTTTACTGAATTATTCACCCCTATTTTAAGTTAATTTTTGAGCCAATAATTCCATATATTTTCATCTAAATATGTTTTTTTAATGTTAGCTTACAATGAGCTGTACTCACCACTTCTGTCATCTTGTGGCATAGCTTCTTCTCAGATGCCGTCAGAACAGCTAGGGTTCCTGCTGCAGCTCTTTGCAGTTTTACTTCATCCTCTTCACCGCACAATAACACTACCAATTTCAAACGATCATTTCCTTCTGCCAAGAACCTTTCCTGGATCTACAAGAATGCAAGAATGACACCATGAACTAAAGTGGGTAGAGATTTTTGTATTTTGACTATTAAAATGTAAAGTGGTTTTTCACTTATTAAAAAAAAAAAAATGTGTAAAAATCCTTCAGGGGAGAGGTTAATTTCCAGCATTCAGTTTTTGTCTTGTAGCCATTATTTGTAAGCTCAAAGAGGTTATGAATGTTCCATATTACATACTAAGTATGAAACTTTACATGGATAACATAAACATGCCTAAAAAGATTAGAGCAATATGATAATGTGCTAAAACTGAATAGTGCCATGAAAGAATTTAGAATTACTGTCAACAAAAGAAATATTGTTTTACAAGAATGAATCTGTTTAACTATTATGTTTTATTAAAGAACATAGTGGTACACAATGCAAAGTTTTTAATAAGTATGGCATAGCCCAGACAAGCTGCATCATGTGCCACTGTGTGCTTCAGTAAAAGATGACTGTTAGGGGCAGAACTGTTCTCTGTGGCCTTAATGGTTGTGGGACTCCTGGGTAGGACACCTGTCACATCCTTTAGTGTTCCTCAACCCCCTTGAAGCCATCATGGTCTGCATACTTTAGAATGGATCTGGTATTCAGTGACATGAGAGCCTCTGAAGAAGTTTGTTTACTGAGCTAAATCAGTCCCTTGATGTCTTGGGACTACTAAGTTGTGAAGATGGACATTTTACTTTGTCTATTCTCATGGGCGCAGTGAGTGATTTTTATTTTCTTTATTTATCCTGGATGGTGATTTCTTTCTGAGGGTTTCAATGCAAACTGTAGACATATGCTCTGGCTTCTGATGCCTCAGTCGTCCATGAAATTCACTGTGAACATATGGATTTCCTCTCAGTATACCTCATTTCAGGATAAATCCACTGTGAATGCTAAAGACATTGTTATCCATTGACCCTTCGTGGATTGACATTTGCTTTTTGGAAATCTTATATATCTGTGTGGATTCATGGAATTTTTTTTCATTATTCACCGCCAGGCTTAATGATTGATGGAACACCCAGTATGTCTGTCACATTATGAGGATATGATGTACAATCTTAATCACTCAATGCAGCTAGTGGTCCCTGATGAAGCTGACGGTAACAGTATGGATGGATACTGTCCCATGGGATAAATCCACCAGCCTGTTGTGACACTTTATATGATACAACAATATATCCATATTCATCAGTCTATTTCTTGCTTAGCCAGGGGCGTACTGACAACTCATGGGGCCCCCAGGCAATAGGGGATCATGGGGCCCCTGTGTTCTTGCCCAAACTCAAAAAAACCTATGAAAAAGGTACCAGGGGCATCTCATGGGGCCCCCTACTGACCTCGGGCCCTCGGGCAGTGCCTGAGTTTCCAAGTGGTCAGTCCACCCCTGTGCTTAGCTATTTTATGGGTTTTGGATTTCCTGCACCCAATCTTTATAATGGCCTTGTACTTCCGCTATATATAGAAGTGCAAGTAGTAAAGTAAATCTTTAGAGCCATTTATTTAGAAGCTTCACTATATAAGTATTCTAGATTCAATACTCTATATTTATTCTATATTTTGTGATTATATGATCTAAACAAGAACAGGGAAGGCGGATTATGTATGTGTTTTTTTATGGTCTACCAAATGTTGTTTTGTCTTGGTTTTAATATTTGTGATTATGAATAAATTTTGTAAAGTGAATAGTTGATTAAGTTTATACATTTTTGCTCCAAGGGATGTTAGCCCTGTGAACAGTAATTCTGTGAGATAAAGGTGTTTGTTAAATTAAATACAGTTGTGTATGGCCAGCATAAGGAACTACAAAAACACCAAGATAGAAGTATTAACAAAATCCACATCAAATAGCACATATGTTTGGCCATGTGTTTCTAATTTTGTTTCCTGGTTTGTTTCACTGTGTGAAAATGCTAGTGTTTCAGATATATAATAAGTTTAGATTTTGTATGGAAATTTCTGAGGGAAATTAGTCTGATTCCTATCTTAACCCGTTTTGATACATCAACATATGAACCAAAAACTGGACGCATTAGGGAAATGCCCAAAACATACAGAATATCACTGTATATAACGAAGCCCTGATGGATTCAAATGGTCAAAGGATGCAGAAAATAAGCTAGTTGTGGATTAAGACATTAATAATATTGTAAACGGCTGCCCTCCTCCATTCTTTTAGTTACCTAAATGTTTTTCTTCTACTATACTATACTCCTCAGTGACTGGCTGCAATTTATCCTGGCAAATCGATGGCATGTCCCCGCTGTAGTATGGTTGAGGGCACATTTAACCACCTTTCGGTTATGTTCGTGGCTGCATCCCTTTTGGAAAGGGATATTGAACACTATCAACACAGTTGGTAACCTGGCTGTTCCTATGGACCCTCTGATATGGCTGTTGGACTTACTGATCTTATGGAGGCACCTAAGCATAGTAAGCTGTTTGTCTTCTTCTCTACTTATTGCGCTAGAAGAGAAATGTTGAGATGGAAGCTGCCAACCCCACCCACGGTCTCTGGTTGGAAGGCAGCAATTAATGGTGCTCTTCCTCGCTATAAGCTTACGTACATAAGGCACAACTGTCCAACAAAATTTTAGAAAATCTCGGCTGGTAGAGTGGAGGCACAGGGTCTCTCAATATAGGTTGTGATGTCTCCAGTTATTTATTTGAAGATTTTTTATAGCACCCGAACAATGTGTTGCTACCTGTACCACCTAATCTCCTCCCAAGCCCTCTGTCTTGCCCTTCTTCAACCCCCCCCCAGCTCCTGCCCTCCACCCCTTTCTCCCCACTTTATTCCCCTCATCCTCCTTGTCCCCCCCGCTCCCCTTCCCCAGCTGGACACCGGCCTTTGGGTCACACTAAGTTCCTGTTTGACTAGCTTGCTCTGGTTGTGTCTTTGGTAGAACTCAAAATTTTGTCAGGATGCTATTGTAGGACTCTTCTGTTTTAGGATATTAGTGTATTCTGTTTACCTTGTTGTATATTGCACGCTTGATTAGGTTTTATGTACCTCTGTTTGTATGTACCACTGTACATCTTGAATAAACACAACTGTAGAAAAAAAGTTTCTCTTCTGGGCTCATTCCAAATTCATTGGTTGTAGCTCTCACCCAAAATTAGGTGTTGTACACATCCAATAAGCTACCACGCCATCCACTTTAACAAAGCTATTTCTTAGCAAACAATGATAAGCATAAGTGGGAAGGATTAGCTCGCCTTACAGCTGCTAGGAGGCATGTAAACAAGGTGGAATAGTGTGGGCACCTACCTGTTTAGGTATCCCATACAGGACACAGAGTAGATGTGATATCTGCACATCTGAAGAATTCAGACAGTATGACAGACCCTGACCAAAAGGCATACTCAATAAAGAAGCTTAGAATTCTGCTCAACATTCGTACATTTTTGAATTGGTAAACTCTACCCCAAGAGCAGCATTCTAATCCATTGACTATGTGTTATTAAGAAATATAATCCAGGGATTTTAAAATCTATTAATATTAAAGATACATATGTAAGTGAATTGACATTTAATTTCAAAATATATTAAGCTGACTAATATATTAATATGTTAGCCCACAATCGTATCCCTTGTATTTTGTAATTTCTTGCATTCCCATAAATGGAACAAGCCTCCAACTACACATAGGTGAAAACCTCATGAAGCAATTGTTGCCCTAGCTGGTACCAAAGCAAGTAATGTATGTCTCACTTACCTCTTTATTTACTACCAAGTTGCACATGCATTCAGTGGCAGCTTGTCGAATCTGTTCATGATTCTCAAACATGTAATTCTCAATGTCAGGCAGGGCCTTCTCCTTAATGATTTTTTTCCTTTACAAGAAACATTTGAAAAAGATCACTTAGAAATGTAATGCATTGCTTTTCAACTTTTAGCAACATTTTCACTTTCAGCATTTTCAGCATTCATAGAAGTTTCCACCATTTACTGCTTGTGAAGTGAGAGGTTTTTTAGCAGCTAGCTGAGAAGTGCTCAATTCTGTAATCTAAATTATATAAAGGAACAATATGGTGCCAAATTAATACAATACCAGTTAGTTTTCAAGGTTAATAGAATTATGTATTTTCTATATGTCTTTATCAATGAAGTAACAGACCTCATACTGGACATACTTTGTAAATGCCATGCAGACTGTGCATTATGTTTATAGGGCCAACTTTCCCGGGGATCTAAAAGCTATCCCAGATCTGCTGGAAGTTATAATCATTCTAAATTGCTTTGGAACTACTTCAGCACCTCCACCCCAATGGAGGTGCCTGATATAACTCTTAAGGGAACCTCCCAGGGACATTTGAATGTAGATCTTTAGCACCAAGAATGTGGTACTGATAGTTCTTGGTGTGGAGTGTGCAGTTCTGCAAACAGGTACAGTGCTGTAAAAAACTATTTGCCCCCTTCCTGATTTTTTTTTTTGTGTGTGCATATTTGTCACACTTAAAATGGTTGTAAAGGTTCAAGGTTTTTTTAACTTGATGCATTCTATGCATGAAGGTAAAAACCCTGCTCAGTGCAGCAGCTCCCCCTACCCCTCCCCCCCAATACTCACCTAAGCCCCTTCTTGATCCAGCGATGTGTACTGGAGTCTCTGTACTGAGTCTCAGTCTCTGTACTGAAGGACTCAGTTAAGGTCAGTGTTCATGATTCAACAATAAGAAAGAGACTGGGCAACAAAAGCATCCATGGGAGAGTTCAAAGGCGAAAGCTACTGTTGACCAAAAATAACACATAGGCTCATCTCTGGGCTTTAACCTAATCCTTAGAATCAATTCCTAACAATCACCTTAGCCTAACCCAGTGGTGGGCAACCTTTTTTTTTCAACTGAGCCAAATCTCGCCAAAACCACGATTGAAATGTATTTTGAGAGCCACATTTTTAAAACTGAAAATACATAGGATGGTACACTGTTTTTAGTTTCAATAAGTTTTTATAGTAATTCATCCCCCATAGTAATTCATCCCCCATAGTAATTCATCCCCCATATAGTAATTCATCCCCCATAGTAATTCATCCCCCATATAGTAATTCATCACCCATATAGTAATTCATCCCCCATAGTAATTCATCCCCCATAGTAATTCATCCCCCATATAGTAATTCATCCCCCATAGTAATTCATCCCCCATATAGTAATTCATCCCCCATATAATAATTCATCCCCCATATAGTAATTCATCCCCCATATAGTAATTCATCCCCCATAGTAATTCATCCCCCATATAGTAATTCATCCCCCATAGTAATTCATCCCCCATATAGTAATTCATCCCCCCCCATAGTAATTCATCCCCCATAGTAATTCATCCCCCCTATAGTAATTCATCCCCCATAGTAATTCATTCCCCATATTAAGTCCCCAAGTCCCCCCTGTGTCAATTCACTTACCTTTGCTCCGCGCGTTCCTCTCGCCGTGTTCCCGCGCCGTTCCGGTCTTCAGGGTGGACTGTGAGAGGAGCCTAGCTCCCCTCCCCTCACGCTCGTCACGCTGCCCCGCCTACACACATCCTGACAGCCACATCCGCGGGCCGGAATAAAAGGTCCTGACTTTTGGGGCGGCCGTCCGAGAGGAGGGAGGGGAGCGGGCGCCCGGCACACAGAAGAGCCGCATTAGCGTGTGTAAAGAGCCGCATGTGGCTCGCGAGCCGCGGCTTGCCGACCACTGGCCTAACCAATAACCAAATTTCTAACACTTAAATTGTGCTGATCCATATTTTTTAGCGTCTTACTCTAAATTCAATACAGCTAATGCAAAAAAGCTCATTATTGAGAGCCAGGAACTCTCAGTCTTTGCACCCCCAGATCTGCTTACCCTACTACACTCAGTAAGCCAAAACTTTTAAAGAAGCATTATTTCTGCCATCTGCATCCATGGCCTTGTGTATTTGGTAATTGACATAGACGAGTATAAGTACATACACTGTGTGGCTTACGCTGAACCTTGTTCAAAATCTCAGTTGTTTCATGGTAACTAACAACCAACGCAGGAAGGTCATGTTTGATGAAGTACTTATTTTCTCTTTCTACGTATTCTTGCCATCTTTATTCTACCGAAAAAAGTCACCATTGCAAGGAAGGCACTTGATGCACTTTGATATGTAGTAATCGCTGACACACATATAGTACAAGCAACTAGTGTTAAACATAGTGATCTGAACCCATTCTTTAATTTTAGAGGAATTTAATTTATATGTTAAAAATGTAAAGTTTTATATGTTAAAAATGTAAAGATTATGATTTATTGTGTGAATATAGTACCAACCTTAATTTGTCACTTTTCCCAGCAAAATTGGTAAGGCCTAAAAGTGCTTCATAGTTCTGCATACCATCTTTCTCTGTGTTTAGTAAACTGACCAGGGGACGTACCACTTCATATACCTGGAAGTATACCAAAAGGCTTATAGAGAGCGGACTCCAAAACACATTTATATAGCAGCATTTTCTCATCCAAAAATAGTTAATTTATAAACTGCTTGAAAACATTTACATTTTAAAAGTAAGAATAGTTTCGTAGTTCGGTTGAGAAAAAAGACCCATTGTGTTCAACCGAAAGACAAAGATTTAGAAAAATCATATTAGGAACGACAGTTGATTAGAAGGAAAGCAAAACACTTATGAAACACGGTCCATGGAAAATGGAACTTGGGGGGGGGGGGGGCGGGGACAAGAATGGATCCCTGGATCAACAACCAACGGTGTTATTTCTTATAAATATTAGTAGACACTTATAGTTTTGCATTCAGAAGCATATCCAGTCCACTTTTAAAGCATTCTAATGAACTGGATAGAACCTGCTCCTGTGGAAGACTAATCTGTTTGTACAGCCCTTTTTACATTAGAACCCTTAAATAATACTTTGCTGGTTAAATACATTTGTGGCAAGTTGGCAACTAACAAAATAATAATTTATATAAAAATGATTATCTATACTGATTCATTTACAGGTGAAAATAGACCATAATTTTGTATGTGGAGTTGAAGCTTGTTTAATCATTTCCAATGCACCTTCGTAAACTCTATGGCCTCATGTGTAAAGGCATATCAATCCGTACATCTGTGTGAAGGGGCTGTCTTTATGCAGACCTGTGCAGGCAGCCTGTTCAAAACAATGACATTTGATCAACTGCACAGATTTTCATGTGCATCCCAAAGTGTACATCCATGCGGGTTTCATACACAGATCAGAACACACTCTGTCTGTGTCCTTATTCATGCATCAAACACTCCAGGATGCACATGAAGATCCGCCCAAGTCCATGCAGCCAGGTGCATGTCATTGATTTGCTGCCTGCACACATCTGCACTGAACAACTGTGCTTCCCGCAGAGGTGAATGGATTGCTACACCCATGTGAATGAGGCCTATATCTCTCCACCTAAACCCCTGTTTGTTGAGGCTCAGTAGTAATTTGTCCTCTCAGCTGTCATGGTTAGGAGGATAGCTATAGGCATTGATCTTTTAATAATACATACCCTTTCTCCTGGGAATGCAATGTCAGGGTTAGATATAGCTGCTATTTTGGCAAGACCATGAGCGGCTTTTGTCTTCCCAGCTTCAGTACCTTCCAGAGCCAGTGGGATCATGACCTATCAACACAAACAGGAATGGGTGATATACAGTAGTTCAACCTTTTTGTTTAGGTATAACTAACAACTGAATAATTTGAGGACCTTCTGGATTATTAATTTAAAAAAAGCGATATTGTAAAGCAGCTTACCTTGCCACCCCCTTGTGCTACAATAGTTCCTCTGTCCTTTGGATCTTCACACAGGGCCAGGAAAACCCTAGAAACAGTGAAATGTAAATGAACGGAAACAGCTTCTAAAAATGTATCTCGCTTTCTCTGATCTCTGAGCGTTTAAAGCCGTTGAAAAGGCTACAGCCTTTTTACCTTAATGCATTCTATGCATTAAGGTAAAAAAACCTTCTGCATGCCGCTCACTCTCCACCCCCCCCCCACCCTTCCCAGAGTCCCCCAGTGCTGTGCATGAGAGCAGAGGCTCTCACCGCATTCTCTCTCCTTACTGGCTAAGAGGCAGCAGCTGGAGCCAGTGACAAGGGAGCTAGGGGCGTTTCCAAGCCACGCTCTGTGTTTCTATGGCCATTCACATGGCAGAAACTCAATGCATTTAGGCATCTAGAGGTGGTGAAGGTGACTTGCTGAATTTCAGAATGGAGAAGAAAAGGGATTTAAGTGACTTTGAATGTGGCATGGTTGTTGGTGCCAGACGGGCTGGTCTGAGTGTTTCAAAATCCGCTGATCTACTGGGATTTTCGCGCACAACCATCTCTAGGGTTTACAGAGAATGGTTCGAAAAAGAGAAATATCCAGTGAGCAACAGTTGTGTGGATGAAATAGCCTTGTTGAGGTCAGAGGTCAGTGAAGAATGGGCAGACTGGTTCAGCTGCGATATTCAGATGGTAGGGTCAGAATTTGGTGTAAACAACATGAAAGCATGAATCCATCCTGCTTTGTATCAATGGTTCAGGCTGGTGGTGGTGTAATGGTGTGGGGGATATTTCCTTGGCACTAACAAGGTGTACCTAATAAAGTGTCCGGTGAGTGTATTTGTCCTTTAGCAGTAAAGATAACTTTTGTTCCAGGTGATTTTACCTGGCTAGCTGCTCTTTTGTTTGATCTGTAAGGATAGAGCTGTCTGCTTTCAACATGCATGCAAGGGTGGAGATCACATCGGCCTTCAACAGTCTCTTGACTCGCTTGGTCACAAAGTCTTTCTTATCCTAGCAGAACACAGAAGAAAATCGAATAAATTCAGAATAGGATAGACAGTTATCTCAAATGGCCAGATACTACGCATCAGGACAGAACCAAATAGATTACAGTATGTGCTTTCAGGGTGTGTTTTATTATTTCATTATTTCAGCTACTATGTGCAAGATGTGGCATGCCTCTGGGTACCAAATATTTTATGGATACTTAACCAGATAATTGTGCAAATGAAGATCAAACACAGTCCATTATTTGTTTTATAATGTCCCATTCTCCAGTATGAGACTTACCTTTGGGTGCTGTTCAGGAACATGCTGCTTTGAGAATTTGGCCAGCTCTACCAGCTCAGGAATGACCTCTTTCACCTCATAGCTGTTTGTACAGTTGACCAGTGTGGTAGCCACTGAGTACAAGACTGTCTTGTCACTTGTCTGACAGAGTGAAAACAGAGATGTCAGCTAATTGGTACAAAGCAAGCATTAGTATGTCCAACTGACATATCAACTGTACAAACCTTAGCCAGTTCAAACATGGCCTGCAGAGCTTGTTCATCTTCAACAAAATCATCCTTTACATCAGCATCTAAAGTTAGATAGGCCAAGCCTTCAACTGCCCACTTCCTTGTTTGTATGTCAATGCTGGGATTACATAGCCACCTAATAAGAGACACCAATCACTTTTCCAGGTGAGAATGAAAAAAAGACAACTAGACACTCCATACACTACAGATTTTATAAAAAAAATACTTTTTTCTGAGTAATATTATTTAATTAGAACCAAAGCTAGCATATAGTATGTACTGTAAGTAGTATATTGTGCATGCTTAGTATCAGGGCCAGTGCTAGACTATTTTGTACCCTAGGCAAGACCAGCTGCTTGCACCCCCCCCAAAAAAAAAAAAACTTCACCTGTAGTTGTACTTCTCCCCTCCTAGCACACATTCGATTTCCCCTCACATTTTCTACCCTTGCACAAATCCTCTCCCCCAATTCCCCCTGCTAGCATAAATTTCCTTAATCCTGCCTCCTAGCACATATCCCCCTAAATCCCTCCTTCTTTCACATCCCTCTCCAATTTACCCTTCCCAGCAACAAATCCTTCCTCCCCACCAAAATCCCCCTTCCTAGCACAAATCCCCCCTCCTAGCACAATCCCTCCCAATCTCCCCTTCTAGCACGGTTTTTTTTCCCCCAATCTCCCTCTCGTGACACAAATTCCCCCGAATCCCCCCTCCTAGAACCCCCCCCCCCCCCAATCCTCCCTCCCAATCCTCATCTCCTTCAATGACCGCTCATCTCTCAGCAGCAGGGAGCCAGAGAATGAATCAAACACTGTACATGCCCTGCTTAGTATATTCTAATTCTTTTTTGGAAAATGAAGTTTCAGTCCCTTTGATGACAGCTTTTACACAGCTTTCATGGTGCAGACTCTTATATTTAGTGAGGAACAGACATGAATGGTGAGAGACATTCATTGTATAAGGTACTTACTTCCTGCATTGTTTAGCAAGTTTGTCTGTAGATCCCTCTGCAAATTGCCTTAAAGCATAATCTGTACCACCAGCTGATCCCAGCTTGCAAAGACCCTGAAAATCGAAAGTCAGACAAAATGAGTAAGGCACTCAAAGGAGTATTTATCAAATGTCCAAAAACATAATCCACCTATCTAGAGCAAATATGACTACCTACTTAATATATTGCAACCCATGGACCTGCTATCCTGGACAGTCAACTGGTGAGTTTTACAAAACATATAAGACATATTTACCAAGTTGCTTGTATCTGATCACAGCCATGTTTTATGTTGGTACAATACTACTATGGGAGGAATTAATTAATTGGTCTTTAAACTTGTAAATATTTTTCTCATCTTTCCTGTTTTCTACATCCTGCACTCTAGCAAAATGGAGAAATCCCCCCCATTATTACAAGGTCAAAATTTAAACCAACAATTGATGAGTGAGGTCAGAGAAAAAAATTTTTTACATTTGTGCTCAAAAGTTTGCACACCCTGGCAGAAATCGTGAAATTTTGGTATTTATATTAAAATCCTGTATTTCTCCTGAGGTTACCTGTGTTTTTTCTTTTCCAGAAAATTTTTTTCTGGCAGTTGTGGCTGCAATCTTTCTTTGTCTACCTGACTTTGGCTCAGTATCAAGAGATCCCTGAACTTTCCACTTTCTAATAAGCAATTTAACAGTACTGACTGGCATATTCAAAGCTTTGGATATCTTTTTTCCATCTTTATAAACTTCAATTACTTTGTTATGTAGGTATTTTGACAGTTATTTTTTCTGCTCCCCATGGCTCAGTATGTAGCCTGCTCAGTGCATCCATGTGAGAGCTAACAAACTCACTGACTATTTATACATAAACACTAATTGCCATTTAAAAGTCACAGATAAGGGAAATTAACCATCAATTGCCATTTTAACCAGTGTTTGTCACCTTGTGTGTCTGTACCAAACATACCGTTAACTTTTGATCAGGGCTATCTGGGTGATTTCTGTTATCATTATAACATTATCATTATGATTTAAAAAGGAACCAAACAACTGCGTGCTAATAAATGGCTTCAAATGATCACTATCCTTAATAAAAGACAGTTCTTTGGCATGATCAGTCATATTTTCAATATAAATGCCAAAATTTCACAATTTCTGCCAGGGTTTGCAAACTTTTGAGCACAACTGTATATGAGGGAAAATGACAGGAGGCAGCAACATCTGCTGAGATGGTCTGAGTTGTATAGCAAGGGTCATCAGAATTCATGAGCTATGGTCTCTAAAGTGAAAGCAACAATGATCAATGTCAGGAATATTGTGCCAGCTTGGATTCATGTGCGTAAGTGTGCACATGTTTCTGTGCATAGAATCCCAGCCAAATAAGTGACCCTTGCGCACACATATGCACATTAACATGTTAACATTCAAGCATGTCCACCATAAATATTTAAATCTTCATAGGATCACTGCCGAATTGGCTTTTGGATGTATTCCTGTGACCAATGATCTCTGATCTTGAACTTTGTGCCTGCACTTGATTACTGACACAGCCTCACCTAGGCACTTGTGCCTTCCATTGTCCTTGCAGGCCCTATTGTATTTTATAGGGGAGGTTGGATAGGAACTGTGCAAGAGGACATGTCCTCTTCAGGGGCTCCTCATACAGGTGCATGACACTAAAGATTACCTGGTCCTATGCACTCTTTGAGCTTGCAGCAACTGTTAACTCTCACTGTTAAGCACCTATACTTTTATGTACTGCAGATTTTTGGAAGCCACATGGTGAAAACAGTAATCAGAGGTTTTGATAGCATAACAGAAAGATTTCAGTTTGCTCATACTCACCACCAAAGCACGGATCTTAATCTTTTCGTTCTTTGTTTTCTTGTAAATGTCTTTTAACATAGACACTCCATTAGTGATGATGAAGGAGGCACGGCTGAATTTTGTAGAGGCATGAATGAGAGCTTCCACTGCAACCAGTTGGTCTATCTCATTGTCTGATGCTGTCAGTGCTACCATCATTTCCATGACACCCTGCAGCCCAAGCAATTTGTTTCCTAGATCAAATGGTCCTTGCAGGATACCTGACACAGTCTGTATGGCATGTAAGTTCTTCTCCATATTCTTGGGGTCAAAATTACCACTGAGAGAAAAAATAACAAATGTTTGTAGTGAGACTAAACAGTGAGACAGAAAATAGATGATATACAGTGTAAAGAAAGATTTCTCAAATGTATTGTAATATGCAACATGTACCCTCTGGTATGGCCTACCCACATCACAAGTAGTCCTTGGCATACATATTTATATTCTTATATCAGTGGTTGTTTCTTACTGTTACTTAAATGGAGGTATCCATACCTATTTGTGTATGGAAACCAAATCATGGTGATATTAACTTAGATGCTTCTAGGATTTTGTTTTAATTATTGCTAGATTACAATATTAACTATTGATTGTGGTAGTGGAGGGGTTAACCAATCAGCAATCAGATCACTCAACACAGATATCTTCGTACTTCCCAGTATTGCCGGTTGATATGGTTAAAGTTTACATGGTCTGTAACTGCACCTCAATTCTATGTTCTGAATGCACACAAAAAAATAAATAAATGTGACTAGTTCTAGTACACTTGAGTTTTTGTGATTTGCTGTTTTTTTATAGTAATAATATCATACAATTCTTATGATTTTTCTTTCAGATGTACTGTTCTTAGCTATCCATGTGTAAAGTAAAACATCCTACTGATATTTTTTGAAGTCATACTGGTAACTAATAGGACAGGTGATGATGAAGATTCCAATTTGATATAGGGGTATGGGGACATATCCATTGGGGGGTTGTTTTTATAAAAAGGTTAAGAAACAATGCCGTTATGTTTTTCAAATAAGTAAACATCTATTCGAATCTGCTTTAAATACAGCATGATATGCTATTTGCTAAGACTGAAACTAAGACTGTAAATCTGCTAATAAAAAGCAGAGAGAAAATTGTCTGTATTATTCCTTGGGTACATGTACCATTGCTTAAGAGACAATAGTGCAAAACATAAATATTAATTCAAATAAGTATTTCTCCAAATAAAAACTTTACATTTTAATGATCATTTTCTTCACTGGGGATTATGTTAACCAAAAAGGGCATTGTGGTACTGATCACTGACTTTTCAAATGTGTAAATTGTCATTAAATTACTTACGTTATGTACTCCTCACATATTAAACGGCAGTTGTCTCTTTCAGGGTCACAGCGTAGGTCATCATATAGCTTATTCAAAAGGATAGAAGCATTTAAACGGGTGTTCACTGTGAGTGGAAGGCTGTTTGGCAATTCTGGGATTTGCCCCATAACCTTTAATATCTTCTTCAGTCCTGTAAGTAAAAATTGTATTGCTTTATATCTATACAGATCTAATCACTGACAACCTCAGTATTTTAAAGACTTGAATTTATTTTCCCTTTTACAGTTTTTTACACTATCTTCCTTTGGCAATGTGTTTCCTTAGTGGTAGCTAGAAGGGGGGATTACATGCACTATGAATGTTATTAAACAATAAATATATGGTTTTCAAATAATTGTCTACAGGCTTTATAGAGGCTAGAGAAGTACCTATGACATAAATTATTAAAGTATAACCAAACGCAAAGCTTTTTTTTTTTTAGTTTTGGATAGAGTGTAGATGGATTAGAATGCTTGTCAGTTTTTATTGCTATCTGTGCTCCCGTTAAGGTGATATACCCTCACTAATTGTCCTGTTTACATTATTATTGAAAGTGAAAGTAATAGATAAACCCAAATTTTGGGGTTTTCCCCAGAAAAGGAATAGAGGGGAAATCTTCCAATGGAGACACTAGTTCTGGTGACCTGGGACCAAGGAATTCCCTTAATTTTCAGGGATTCCCTCTCTCTTCCTGTCTTGGCTATGGGACAGGAAAATCTCCCCTAAGGGAAACAAATGGTGAAAAATCTGACAGGGGTTTTTTAACCCTCCCTTACTCTATCCAAAAATAAATAAAAAGTTTTGCATATAGTTGTACTTTAAATTAGATAAACATACAGTAAAGAACATGTATGTGGTAATCCTTGGGTGCCAAGGGTGCATGTTTATTTTACAAAACAAAGATTTTACATAAATAGTATGAATTTGGATATAAAAATTTAGTTTGACACCTTGGCACCAGCATTTCCTGGCCCTTTTATGGGGTTTGTGATACCTGGAGACAGGGCAGAGTTTAGGGTCATGTAATCGCCGTGATTGCCTGTCAGGCTGGTCACATGATCAAAAAGCTCCCATCCGCAAGTGGCGATCAGGACATTTCCATGTGGTGCCAGTAGATGTGCTGGGAGCATGCAGGGCGTGCGCTCTCGGCACATGTTTTGTTTACATTGGGTAAGCAAATATGCGGCCCCTCAGCACCAAGGCCCAGCCGCTGAGAGGCCGCATATTTGCATGCGCTCCACACCAAGGAGTTGAGATCTTTACACATTAAGTACATTTGACCAAAAGCCTTTATAGTTTTATATATATATATATATATATATATATATATATATATATATATTGGGGCGCCTGCCTTTACACGCACATGAACTTAAATGGCATCTCAGTCTTAGTCCGTAGGTTTCAATATTGAGTTGACCCACCCATGGCAGCTATAACAGCTTCAACTCTTCTGGGAAGGCTGTACACAAGGTTTAGGAGTGTGTCTATGGGAATGTTTGACCATTCTTCCAGAAGCGCATTTGTGAGGTAAAGCACTGATATCGGACAAGAAGGCCTGGTTTCGCAGGCTTCACTCTAATTTATCCCAAAGGTGTTCTATCAAGTTGAGGTCAGGACTCCTAACAGGCCAGTCAAGTTCCTACACCCCAAACTCACTAATCCATGTCTTTGTGGACCTTGCTTTGTGTACTGGTGCGCAGTGAGGTTGGAACAGGAAGGGGTCATCCCCAAACTGTTCCCACAAAGTTGGGAGCATGAAATTGTCGAAAATGTCTTGTATGCTGACATCTGAAGAGTTCCCTTCATTTGAACTAAGGGACCAAGCCCAACCCCTGAAAAACAACCCCACACCATAACCCCCCCCCCCCCCCCCCACCAAACTTTACACTTGGCACAATGCTTTCAGGCAAGTACAATTCTCCTGGCAACTGCCAAACCCATACACGTCCATCGTATTGTCAGGCAGAGAAGCATGCTTCATCAGTCCAGAGAACATGTCTCCACTGCTCTAGAGTCCAGTGGCGGCGTGCTTTACACCACTGCATCCGATGCTTTGCATTGCACTTGGTGATGTAAGGCTTGGATGCAGCTGCTAGGCCATGGAAACCCATTCCATGAGGCTCTCTATGCACTGTTGTTGTGCTAATCTGAAGGCGGTCTTTAGTTACCGACCCTGCAGACAGTTGGCAACTTCTGAGCATTGTGCGCTTCAGCATGCGCTGATCCCGCTCTGTCAGTTTACGTGGCTTACCACTTCATGGCTGAGTTGCTGTTGTTCCCAGTTACTTCCACTTTGCTATAATACCACTAACAGTTGACTGTGGAATATTTAGTAGCAAGGAAATTTCACAGATGGACTTATTGCATAGATGGCAATCTATCACATCTTGAATTCACTGAGCTCCTGAGAGCGACCCATTCTTTCACAGATGTTTGGAGAAGCAGTTTGAATGCCTAATTACTTGATTTTATACACCTGTGGCCATGGAAATGATTGGAACACCTGAATCCAATGATTTTGACAATAGTATACAGCCTCATTTCTAGCTTCCATATTGCATTTTTCCTTTATATTTGTATTACCAATGTACTACCAATGTTTCACTTTATTTTGAGAGTTCTAAAATATTTGTTTTTTTTTTGTTCCATAATAAAATATTTGTTATTGTTACCTGAATCAACCACAAATAGAGTTTTGGAGTTGTCTTTATTCTTCAGGTCTCTGCGAGGGATGTTTTTATTAAGCAGATTTAGAGCTTGATCCCTGCCATGTCCAGAGACCTTCTTACTAACAAGCATGTCCAACAAGTTGGTGGTGATCATTTGGAGGTCCTTCCTGCTGTCTGTAACAAAACGTTTAGACGGAGATGTAAGAATCACTCTTACCTACATTCAGATTGTTCCAGTATGTACTATAATACAATCAAGGAATATTTTATTTAGCAAACAATCTTATTATTACAAAGTAAGTCTTGTAATGACAATGAATGGAAAAAAAGTTGGAGAATACTGCCAAGCCAAGCTTTGTTTCTTAGCACAAGGAGTAAAGCTGATTAAATATGTCACAAACTCATTGTAAAATCTTTCTTAAATTTACAACTAGTGCAGGAGCCCCTTACTGTATGCAGGTTAAATGGGTTGTTCAGATAGGCCTTTACTTTTTTTTTCTAGACACATCCTAAGAAGATTTGAACAGGGCTTATTCAGATTGTAATATATATGACCAGTTGAGGAGGCTGTGTACTGTGTACTGTGTATATTTTTATTAGTACAGTCCCAACCACCTGGAACTGTTCTCTAGAGTGCCTGTTTCATAGACTGCATTTAACGTACAGGTTCAGCCTCAATGTACAGCAAATGTATCCACTTTTTTCCAGAGTTCTTACCTAAAACCAAAGCTTCTTCTTTCCCATGGTCCTTTCGATCCTCTCCTGTCAGAGAGTCCACAATGTTCTGTACCAGATTGCATGTAGCTAGAGCAATTTCTTCATTATCAACTGCCATAATGCTGAAGATTTTACTGATACCCACAAGATGTAGGATAGCTGTAGCCTTGAGAACAAAACATATGTAATGTTTGAAAAACTGGAAAATTCACATACTTTGAAAAAGTATTTTCCATTGTACATTTCTTTAGAAAAGCCTTGTTTTAATAACCTGAAACCTGTTCATTGCATTTGCACTATACTCATATTGCAGATCCAGCCAAACCTTTCTTTTCCTTTATAGTGAGAAAGGGTTAGAACATCTGTCATGTTTTCATTGCTGTTTAAAGTTTTTCTTAATATGGAGATTTCCCTTGATTTCAGTGTTCTCACAGGACATACTATTAATCCAACCAATTTCTGGAAGAGGTTTTAACCCCTTTTGTATTTTAATTGTTTTGTTGTCTATGATTTTCCCTTACTTCCTGACAACTTGCTTCCAAGACAGAAAGTAAGTGGAAATCTCTCTGCACAAAGATCAGTAAAAAAATATGTGGCTGCTAACCTTGCCCCCAAGCTATCCAACACTTTACCAAAGGATTTGGCTGGATATATGCTTTCTGTTTTGAATTAATAAACTCCTTTTGGGTAATGAAATTCTATTCAGGTAACATGTACAATGCGGAATTTAAAGTTTGGCAGGTCTAGATTTCCAAGTTACGTAAGTGGAAAATGACAAGCTCCAAAAAATGGCACACACTTACTCTTGCCCTGTGGCCAGTGCACATGCCAGAAAGGGTCCTCACTGCAGAAAGAATCAGCTCTGGGTCTTTAGTATCCACCAACTGCATTAAAAGGTTCACACCATTGTTCTGGAAAATTCTCTCAGCACCTGCATCCTCCCTGCCCAGAACGATCAGATTGTTGACAGCCTGCAAGAACATTTAAATATTAATAAGAGATTGCACAACAAATGTTCAACATATAAAGTTTTATAGACAAAGCCACAAATTTAGTACTGTTCGGCATGTATATAAGGTACATAGAATGATTATTGCTATAATATTATGTTTATTTACTGTTATTATTTTTGTTCTGTGCTTTCCAAAAAATGGCTGTTAATATTACAGAACTTCAGAAATCAAAAATATATTTTGTTACCTTTTCTCGTTTTTCTTTTTCACTGTTTGGGTCCAGCAAGATCTCAAACATCTGCTGAACACGAGAGTCAGTTGAGAACTGGACACGAAGCTGTAGGAGTTAAGAGAGAGGTCAATGTAGTGAGGTAGCACATGATTTATCTATTTAAATTATTTAATTCCAGGGAACAGTAATGCTTGAGGTGATTGTAGCCGTATTGGTGCACTTGCGACAGAAACAATTGAGTACTGTCCTTGATACTTTTTATATTTGCACTAACATACAATTTTGAGGACAAGCTTTCAGGGTATGTCCCCTTCTTCAAGGTCGGAGCAGTACTATTACAATGTTTTAGCAGAATGTTACAAGTTGGAGATGAGAGGAAAAAAAAAGCAGAAAGAAACAAGCCTAGGGTTAAACTAGAGATAAGATACAGCAAAGCAAAAGCAAAGACTGGGGGGGAGAACAACAATCACAGAGAGAGTCATAAAAATGTCAGATAATGATTGAGGAATCCCATGTCCAAATTAAGGCCCTTATCTCTTGTGTCAAATAGAATTATCATTCTTAGTTCAAAAGTTTTTCTTTCCTGAATGGATTTGAAATTTCCTTTCAGAACTAAAACATTGAGGTCTCCCAAAGTGTGATCTGGTTGTGCGAAATGGTGTCCCACAGGGAACAGTAATAAAGGGAATGGGCTTTCCAATGCGTAATGTGCTTAAATGTGCAAAAACAGCAAGCGAGAACACGTTTCCCACTACCCAGAATGCAAATGGGTCCCTATGTGCAATGTGCTGTAACCCAGAGCAGCCAATCAATTTCTTCTTTTATTAATGTGACCTCATTCTTGCAAAACATAATGGGGTTGATTTACTAAAGGCAAATATTGTTGTTCATTTTGCATAACTTAGTGATAGTTGTAAAAAAAATATCACTTTGCAAAGAATATACAATCATAAGCAAGGAAAATAAAAAAAGAAAAACATTATTTTTGCTTGCACATGATTGAATGGTGGAAGTCAGCTGAACTTCACCTCATTCCCTAAGCTCTGGGATAATTCCCTTGCAAAGTGATTAGCCTACAATATGTGTCTTTAGGAAACTACCCCCAATATACAGCTTTGAGATATATGGAATTATCAATTATATATTTCTTTAAAGCAGCTAGCACATCTGTGCTGTGTGATCTATTACAAAGGCTTTCCATAATATAACTTGAATACATGAGTTAGCAATTAATGTGTGTATAAAAAGAACTATATATACAGTACAATATATTTTACTGAAGTGTGGTTTTGCAACATGCAGGATCTTACCTTTTCTTGAATATTACTACCTAAGCGGTGCAGAGTCTCTATAAAGGTCTTATTCCTTGGCTCTATTGTTGCACATCTCTGAACATCCTTATATGCTTGATCCAGCTTCTCCAGTTTCTCCAGAGCCTGGCAGCGTCTAAACAAGGCTTTGATATCTGATGCATCAACATCAATAGCTGAAATTGAACAAAACAATGTCTGACCTATCTTTGTAATGCTACGTTGTAGCCAGTTGATTAGATACATCTCCCAATTTGAATTATTAGTAAAATAACAGTTTACAGATATAAGACAGTCAAGGAAAATGTTCTACAATTTTTTTACCTTTAGTGGCATCTGAGGCTGCCTGAACATAATTTTCCTAGGTAAGGAGAAAAAAAAAAGTCAGTTCCTTAATAGTTGGAGAAAGTAAAATGTGGCAGGTAAACAGATTTTACCAAATATTTCCTCTCAGCACAAAGCCACACAAAACACATTAGGCTAAATTTACAAAGTTTTAATGCAGGGATAAGGATTTTTATTTACCTATGTGATTTTTTAAAAATTAATTGCATTGCACAATTTTTGAAAAAAAAAGGATCCTAATCCTGGTATGTTAGCTTTCTGTATAGCAAATATTTACTTATGAATAGAATTAAGACTTGATATATAGATATATATACACTATATTGCCAAAAGTAATGGGACACCCCTCCAAATCAATTAATTCAGGTATTCCAACCACCTCCATGGCCAAAGGTGTATAAAATCAAGCACCTAGGCAAGCAGACTGCTTCTACAAACATCTGTGAAAGAATGGGTCGCTCCAAATTTCCTTGCTACTAAATATTCCATGGTCAACTGTTAGTGGTATTATAACAAAGTGGAAGCAAATGGGAACAACAGCAACTCAGCCACGACGTGGTAGGCAAACTAAAATAACAGAGTGGGGTCAGCGCATGCTGAAGTGCACAGTGTGCAGAAGTCACCAACTGTCTGCAGAGTCAATAACTAAAGACTTCCAAACTTTGTGTGGCCTTCAGACTAGCATAACAACAGTGCGTAGAGAGCCTCATGAAATGGGTTTCCATGGCTGAGCAGCTACATCCAAGCCTTACATCACCAAGTTGAATGCAAAGCATTGGATGCAGTGGTGTAAAGCATGCCGCCACTGGACTCTAGAGCAGTGGAGACGTGCTCTCTGGAGTGACAAATCATGCTTCTCTGTCTGAAAATCTGATAGACATGTCTGGATTTGGTAGTTGCCAGGAGAATGGTACTTGACTGACTGCATTGTACCAAGTGTACCAAGTTTGGTTGAGGGGGGATTATGGTATGGGTTGTTTTTCAGGGGTTGGGCTTGACCCCTTAGTTCCAGTGAAGGGAACCCCTAAGGCATCAGCATGCCTAGACATTTTGGACAATTTCATGCTCCCTACTTTGTGGGAACAGATTGGGAATGGCCCCTTCCTGTTCCAACATGACTGCGCACCAGTGCACAAAGCAAGTACCATAAAGACATGGATGAGCGACTTTGGGGTGGAGGAACTTGACTGGCATACACAGAGTCCTGACCTCAACTTGATACCTCAACCTTTGGGTCGAATTAAAGTGGAGACTGCAAGGCAGACCTTCACCTCAGAGATCAGTGCCTGACCTCACAAATGCACTTTTGGAAGAATATTCAAATATTCCCATAGACACACTCCTAAACCTTGTGGACAGCCTTTCCAAATTAGTTGAAACTGTTGTAGCTGAACCCTACAGACTAAGACTGGGATGCCATTAAATTCATCTGCATGTATAGGCAGGAATCCCAGTACCCAATATGCTATGACATCCAACTACAAGCAACACAATGGCTGCCAATGCAGTTTTGGTTATACTTTAAGCCAAGGTTTCAAAACAGTATCATCTATAATCTTGTGCAACAGCAAAATTAAAGTGATTGTAAACTTTTTTCCATTATTAATGATAATGTCATACTTGCTCTGCATAATGGTTTTGCAAAGAGCAACCCCAGTTTTCTTCTGGGGTCCCCACCAGCGCTCTCTCTCTCTTCAGTGAGTACCTCTATAGCAAGTTGCTTCCTATGGGGGCACTCATGTGTGCTTGATCCTGAGTCGCGCTGACTGTGTTTATAGAAACAGGCAGTGTGGGTCAGCCCTGTGTCCTGCTCCTTCATCACAGAATTTGATTGGCAGCAGCAGGAACCAATGGCTCCCGCTTCTATCAATCTGCCTTCTGAGGAGGGAGAGAGAGGAAAGAGCACTGCTCTCAGGCACATGGTTGGAACAAGATCAGGCTCAGGTAAGAATAAGGTGGGGCTGGGAAGGATCCTGTGGCACAGAATGCATTCAGTTAAACAAAAATTAAGCCTTAACCACTTTTTTTGTAGATAGAGTGAGAAAGGGTTAGAACCTCTATTATGTTTTGATGGTCTCTTTATGTCAAGGAGATTGTTAAAGCAGAGCTCCACCCAAAAGGGGAAGTTCTGCTTTAAGGGCTGCTCCCCCGCTCCCCATTAAGGATTGGGACCTTTGGGGGGCGGGGGGGAGCGTGTACCCGAATTTAACAGGTACCCGCTCCCACTTCCAGTCCGATCGCCTAGAAGACCGGAAGTGAAAGGTGTCCTCCCTCCCTTCCTGCCTGTAGTCTTTTGGGACACGTGACAGGTCCCAGAAGACTACAGGACCATTCATGAAGTGCAGGACTGACGGACAGGTAATTGGCTGTTTTTTAAAGTCAGCAGCTATAGTTTTTATAGCTGATGACTTTTATTTTTTGACAGGGTGAGTGGAACTCCGCTTTAATAAAGTGCAGCTTACCAGTCCTTAGGTGTAGTAGCTGCATTAGTTTTCCCTTTTTTAAGCTTTTTTTTCCCTTTTTTTCACTTGGGGATTCTCCCAATTATACCCTGGTGGCTACATTCACTCTTTGCCGTATCTGTGGAGGAGTAGTGTAGTCACCTTTGGACAGTAGCAGTGTCAACCTGTGCAGAGGGTATTGTTAGGTGGACTAGTAAATTTAGATGGACTTTAGGTAGGTGATCAAAGTGTTAAAGCGTAAGTCCAGCCAACACTTTCAGTTATAGCATTATTTTTTTCCTTTTGAGATAAAGATTTTACATATATAAAAGCTGACAACTTGGTCTGTTAAAGGAAGTTGGAAAATAACAGACTTACTGGCTGGATCACTAGGTGAAAATAGAAAGAAAGTCTAAAAACAAAAAAGAAAACTAATGAAGCTCTCACAACTAAGGTTTGGTAATTTTCAGTATATAAAATGTTTGCTTGTTGAAATTTAGATTCACTTTAACTTCCTGATGTGCCACCTGGATAGGAAGTATTGAACAGCCTATGCACAGGCACACAGACAAATAAAAAAAATTAACAAATTCCAACTTTTCCCAATTCTATACTGTAGAAGAGTAAATTGCTGTTGCTGATAGGAAAGAAAAGAGGAGAGGTACCTTCTAAGTGCAGTATTAAAACATTTATTTAATAAGCCACAAATGTAAAAACTCACAAAAATTGGGTGGTAAATTAGAGGCCTCTGGAAGGAGCAGTAAGCTCTGAGCGCGTAGCCTCTCTCTTTTCTCAATGCCGAATTTCCTCCTGTGTGACTTCACGTCCGACCGGCTTGCGGTTCACACTGGTTCCAATCCCATTTGGCCAACAGTTCCTGAAACTCCTGACCATCCACAACATATTGGGACCCTCACCACCCAAACACCATCACCCCACCGGACGGATCCCTGCAGGACACACCTACAGCTAACCTTAATGATGGGCTAATTTACCTCCCCACTTTTGTGAGTTTTTACATTTTGTGGCTTATTAAAAAAAGTTTTAAAACTGCATTTAGAAGGCGCCTCTCCTCTTTTCTTTCCTATCATGTACATAGAGATGGCTCACTCTGGGATGGGTGCCACCTAAAGCGGTTATACAGTTACGGACTTTATTTGGGACTTACAGACTTTTTGTATGTTTGTTCTAATATCACTGGAGATTGGCCAACAGTGCGTTGAGAGTTCTATACAATATAGCTAAATTACTGCAGTTTAAGTTTCTTACAACACACCTTTTTAAGGTAACAGGCTGATCTGTTACGATACAAGACAGCCAGCAGCTTCTTGTCTTTAGCAAGCTTTATGGCTTTGCTGTAACAGTCAATAGCCTGGACGTAATCATTTTCCTTGAAAAACGAATTCCCATCTTCTTTCAGCTGAACTGGGTCTTCCATCTGAAAAAAAAAACATAAAAAAAAATACATTGTTGAAACACCGTAGAGATGATACCTATTTAACATTACCTAGCACAAGTAACTAGATGGGGCTGATTATACAACTGAACAGCAATGTGCACCTACTGCTGTACAGTACAATGACAGTAATATAAAAGGTAACAATTGTCCTTATGTATCATCAATGACAGCTTATCACTACATATGCCAATGCTAGCATTAATAAATACATGTTTATTATGTAGGTTATAGGATCACGACGCCTTAGTATGTACAAGAATATTTCTTTTCAGCTATAATGTGTATCATAAGAAAATAATCATAGAACGTTATAGATAAATTTACATTATCTGCAGATTGATTGTACTGTATATGAGGCAGAGGCTGTTAGTACTGGGGTCTGGGAAATATCCTACACGCTACACATTTGTCTACACATTTGTCTACACGCTACACAAACAGCTGTGTGTATTCAGATGACAGGCAGCTTACCATATATGGAAAGTGAGTTGTCCCCATTGAGACAAGTGTCCCTGTCACCTGTCCACAGACCACCACAGAACAATGTGTTCACCATGTACAGAAAATTACTATAAAACTATAGATTTTTATAACTTCTATGGAAGAAGTGATATTAAAGACACTCTTCACCCTTTCTACACCTTACATTGAATGGGAGCAATTCAATAAAGCATCTGAGACACTTTCCTGGGGTTATGACCATGATAAATAAGTCCTGTGCCAAATTCACAAGACATACAATAGCTTTTTCTTGTCATTGCCAACGTATGTGACAAATTCAGCTCGTTCTTATATGCAACCTTTTTACATTCTTCTGCAGTAGCTGCAACAAATTCATTAAGGGATACCACAATATCAAGGATAAGAAAAGTGGAGACCTCTTCCATGATGGAGAAAATGGTGTAAGTTCTGAGATCAGTATTTACAGTTACAAGTTGCGCCAATTGTTGCACAGATGGGAAACAGATTTCTAATGAGTGTTCTTTATCATTTCCAGGCACATTAACAATTCGTGAATGAAAAAATTGAATGGGATAAAGGGTCATTATCAATGGCTTTAAAGAAGCTTATGCAATAAATGGCGAAAGGAACAACATTCCAACTGTAAAGTACAGTAAGCAGAACTGAATACGCTAAATCCAGAGCAGTGTATAGCTAATTTTAATTGGTTATATTAGGTTACTGAACCTAAGCTGGCTGTACACTATACGATCTGATTGCACAATCTCCTTTAGATCTACCAAAACTATATAATATGGACAAACCTAACCGATGCATTCAATATATCAAAATAGGCAGGCCCTGTCACTATACAGTTGATGGTGGATCTAAAGGAGATTGTACAATCAGATTTTAACACATGTACGGTGAGCTTTAGATCCTTGTTCCGTGCACTATTTTATGAAAAGAAAGCTAAACAGTGTAATAATAGTCTTCACCTAGAAGAAGGGAATTTATTTATTGGTGTCATCAGTTACTGCATTTTACACTTCCTTCACTGAGTGAGAATGTAACTATCCATAATCATGTAAAACATCAGTAACATAACATAGCACCTTATTAGGTTTTAGTTTTCATTGCAGTTATTGTTACCTTGTCAGCATCAAGCAAGTAAAATACAAATAGATGATCACATAGATATTTACTGTATATCCTAGATTTAAATAGTATCAATATACTCAGAGCCAAACAGTTTAGTTGGTTTCCTTATACATACAGTACCTCCCAACTGTCCCTGATTTCGAGGGACTGTCCCTGATTTGGAAGTCCCTCTGTCCCTCTTTCCTTTTCATGTGCTCTCATTTTGGTTTGATCTATATATCTATATATAAAAATGCACTATTTATCTTTCAAAAAGTGTTTCCCCAGTGCTAAGCCTTTCATCCAATTTCTAAATTGTTGCATTTGTAAACTTCAAAATCCAATAAAAAGTAGTATTGGTGGAAAAAAAATCACTTTAGGCAGGTTTAACTAATCTTTTTTTCTCTAATTCTCCTTTAAGGGGACATGGCAGGGCTGTGTCCTATGCCTACGTATATTTGCTAATAGGTGTCCCACGTTCCCATCTCAAAAAATTGTGAGGTATGCGTATACTGCAATGAGTTAGGCCCAGGGGCAGACTGACAACTCATGGGGCCCCGGGCAATAGGGGACCATGGGGCCCCTGTGTCCTTGATCAAACTCAAAAAAAGCCTATGAAAAAGGTACCAGGGGCATCTCATGGGGCCCCCTACTGACCTCGGGCCCTCAGGCAGTGCCTGAGTTTCCAAATGGTCAGTCCGCCCATGGTTAGGCCTCATGCACAAGGGCAGAAAAATGTCTGCTTGCTTGCCTCTGAATGTAGCTCTGTTTTAGCCAGTGTGTCTAGGCACATTGTAATGTTTAGGCTGGCAGTCGAAAACAGAATGTTTTGTCGATCAAAAAATTCAAATGGTGCATATGATTGTGCGATCATTTTTTTGTTTTTCTAAAACAAAAATCCAGCATGCTGGATCAGGCACTTTCAATTGCGGCAATTAGATCGCGTGTTTAAGCTGGCACACTAATGATGTGAAAAACAAACAATCTGACGATCGACAAGAATTTTCATTTGGTTTTCCACTATATGGCCTGCTTTAGGTTTTGGAAATGAAGGGCAGCATTTTGGGGCTAAAAAAATTTTCAAAACCTGCATTTAGGGTGGAGGTTAATGGCATAATTTACAAACACACGCAAGTAAATGCATATAAACATGTGTAAATTCATTCAAGCACCTAGAATAAGTGAATATTCTAGCCAAAAAATTGAGTTTACGCACATATGCTTCTAAACGCCATGTGACCATAAACGCACATAATTGCATGTAATTACACGCCAAAAACAGGCATTTTTTATGCTGGATTTTTCTTCCTGAGAGAAGAAAGATTCAGCGTAGGTGCAAATATTATAAAACACACGTGTACAGCCAGCCTTATACTATAATATGTATTATACTAAGGGTATGATGATAAATCTTGGAATGACTTATTTGTACAAGTAAAATAGCGTAACATGCTGTGATTACATCTACGGTTGATGTTTTAGATGAAAATGACTTCAACAATCTGACAACCAAAGCAAACATTGTGGTAGACTACCCATAGACAAAGAAAACCAAAGTAAGCAGTGGAATGAAACCAGTAACCACACTATTAATAATAATAATAATAATAATAATAATAATAATAATAATATCATCCTAGATTGTAAGCTCCAAGGAGCAGGGACCTCCTATCCCTCTTGTATTGAACTGTATTGTTGCTGTATTGTCTCCCTTTATATTGTAAAGCGCTGATCAAACTGTTGGCGCTATATAATTCCTGTATAATAATAATAATAATTAGTAGAAAACAAGACACATACAAGAATGGCAGTTGTCAATATATATAAATAATCAAGCATTATTATATAGACACCAAACTTCCCTTTTTGCCCAGTTGAAGTTTTTGTATTACAAAAATGGTAAACCTGACTGTAGAAATTTGAACTGTGATCTCAGCATATAAACATACCTTGATCGGCATTATGGGATCCTGGACTTTTCCTAGCTCTTCTCAGGCAGCTTGTGTCCTTTGTGATATATATAGAAGTGAATGAAATGGTCCAGGACTGTGGAATGCTGGGACACCAAACACACACAGGGGTGTCCTCTTATAAGGAAAATATTTAAAAAATTGATAGACAGGATCCTCATTGATGAATTGTCAGACATAAGTTTAAGCTAAACAAAGTTTCTTCACGTTCCACATGTTGGCACAGTAATGTACATGCAAAGACTTGTAGAGCACTTAAGTAGTGGTAAACCCCCCTGTTGGTGTTATCAAGCCCACCTGCCCTGCCATTTATGGAGGTGACTGAAAGCTGACCACTGGGACAGCTATAGGCATGAAGCTGATATAGTGGGAGACGATCCAGAGCAGCTGTCAGTGCTGGAAGTGCCTAGTAGCTTCTGGAAAATCAAGTGTGCCCATGTCACTGGCCAGGCTCATCCACTCCCAATTTTGTTTCTTCTTCTGTTATGACGCTGCAGATTTTATGTCTGTCATCCCATGGCCTATCTAGTTTATTATTTCACAACCCAAAACAATTGACATTCTCTAGCAAGTAAAATAAAATGTATGGTGTTATGTTGTGCAGCCCCATTATATATACATGTATACATGTTTAATATAAAGTGTCATATTCCAAAAAATGTCATTGCAACTTCAGGCTGACAGGATCTTTTCATCCTACATGTACAGCTTGTGCCATCTTGCTACTGTTTCCCCAGATTGCAGAATCAGCTTAAACTAAGCCTGCCATTTGAGAAATACAAAGGATGCCCTTGATGTTTGGCAGGTTGTTGTGCAGATTCATTAGCTTCAATATTTTATGAGTCATTAAAGCGGTAGTAAAAAAAAAAAATTAAAAAAAAAAAAATTCCCTACAAAATAATGTTATAATGTACTAGTATTCATCACATACCAGCACATTATGAAAGACTTATGCAGGCCATACATGGTTAGAATTCCGAACGATTATTCGTCCAAAAATCGAAAACGTTGTTTGCTCGGTAATCCGATGGTGCCATCAATGATTTCGAAAATCGGCCAACCAAGTCATGAAATTCACCCAGGGGCGGACTGACAACTCATGGGGCTCCCGGGCAATAGGGGATCATGGGGCCCCTGTGTCCTTCCCAAACTCAAAAAAGCCTATGAAAAAGGTACCAGGGGCATCTCATGGGGCCCCCTACTGACCCCGGGCCCTTGGGCAGTGCCCGAGTTTCCAAATGGTCAGTCCGCCCCTGAATTCACCCCATATAACAGGCAAAAGTTCTGTTCCTTCCAAGTCATGGCTCATGCACATATTCTTTTCGGAAAAATTATTGTACAATTTGACCATCATTGAGTCGAAAATCGGTCCTTTTTCAGGAATTTTCCAACATTCCCGATCACTGAAAAAGAGAGGAACCACAAAAA